ATAACAGGGGTTTCATTAGCAACAGGCAACAGGCGAATTTTACTTGTTGTTTTCACAAAATCGCCCTTTGTTTTAGGGACTTTTCAACTTTTCCATGTTAAATATATGATTTCCATTAATTTTGCCATGGGCTTTCAATTAAGCCCATGATTTTGCCTGTTATTTTCATTTATTTAACCTGTTGTTAGAAATTCTAGTGAGTCCCCTGCATAAGATGTTTCATTAAAAGGGATTATTACTCATCATATATATCATAGAGTTAATGATGAAATAAGCATCCTTATTTCATTCATGAGGAGACATATTGATTGACAATATCAAACTTCAGTTAGACCCTGGCTTGTTAATGGAGGTAGATCAGATAGAATGGTCCCTAATGTATACTTTGTAACAGCGCAATCTGTAAAATGCAATCCGTAAAATCATCGCTGTAACATCCAGAGATAAATCATACAAGCTTACCATATCAAAAACGTAACTTTTTGATCAGCCCGTGTAGGTAAATTCAGATAATGATCCATAAAATTGATTTCATTGATTTTCATGACAATGCTAAAAATGTGAATCCTCATGTTTTTCATTCTAATTTTTTTATGTTTAAGTATTCCCCTTCACCATGCCAACAGGTAGCATTTTTTATACGGGAACCTCACTATTATCTCATTATCACATAAAGTACCTCGATATGATCTTTATTCAGTGAATTAATGATATTACATTGCATAAAATACAATATAGATATCACAAATGGATACTTAACTTTGTTAATATTAGGTTGGTTTATTATGTATGTTTATAGATGAGAGTATGGTTCTTATGAGAGGATACTCATTTAGTCAACATGGGGCAGTTCTTGTGACTTTTGTGTGGCAATTCTTTATGTGGCAATTCTTATTGTTTTGCGTGACAATTCTTATGATGTTTATGTGTTTGGTGTTCGGTGGTTTGTAACAAATGACAGGTGCTAACATTTTCCATGTTAATGCCTAGTGTTTGATGTGTTATGGGTTGTTGTGGTCATATTTAGGATTCAGAGGCTGGTGAAATATGTGATGTATTTCCTCAGAGGAGGATGTTTCATATATCACATATCAGGTTACCATAGCAACTATGGTACCATAGTAACAGAGGTAACATATCTCACACTATATAACATATAATAAACATTGGGTGAAGTGGATTGAATTAGAAAAAACAAAGTCATTTTATCAGGTAACCATAGTAACATCTATCATGTTCTCTTGGTAACAAAAATAAAATATCCATTCTGATGATCATAGCATCTCTCTCACTTTGCATCTCAGGACAGAGATACCATGGTGTAAGAGACCAGTGCTGTTTAAACAGTACCGATAGTACTCTACAGTACTGTTTAATGACAGTGTATGTATAATGTTTTATGGATTTGGCACTGATATCATGAATGTTGAACTGGATGCTCAGCTGGGACTGTTTAACCTTTAGCGTGCTGCCGGCGGACTCGTCCGCCGAGACTAAAATGTCTCTCACAACTGCCGGCGGACCCGTACGCCCGATTTCAAACTTTTAAAAACTTTACTTTTTCGCGCCATTCGTATTGTCCAATTAGATTGCCCGATTTATTCAGTGCCTAACATGACTTCCTGTTGACCTAGAAATGGCGATATTTCGAAAAATAATTCTCAATTCAACAATTTAAACAGTGTTTTAGTCGTTTTTAGTGAACGAATCGTACAAAATGGTGGACAAATACGATCACAACGAAAATGTGGAGGAGATGGATTACGATTTCGAGCTCTTTAGGCTCTTGGAAGCCGATAACGGTCATCGAAAATAGAAACTAGAATATTTTCTGAATTGAAAAATTGAACATTCGATCGCTGCAAATTCAGATTTGGATTCTGACCAGACGAAGAGGCGGAGCGGCGGATTCCGGAGGAGTATTCATGGTATATTTATGCCCAGTCGTGTTAATGTACGAAAAAATTCATGAGAACATTTTTTTCATGAGCCAGGCCACTGTATCTTCCCTTTGTGAAAATTTTATCCAGATTCATTCAGTAGTTATTGAGATATTAATTATTTAGTCCAGGTATATCATTTTTTGCACTCTTTGAAAAATAAGCCAGATGCGTGGGATATATTTGCTGAAATAAGGCAGCATGGTAAAGGTTAAAAGAAGGCAAATCTTGCAACCTTACACTTTGTTGTAGTATTTGAGTGCATGTGATGCGGTTGCTGGGAAACAACCTTACAAAATATATAAAACAACCTTACATGTTAAACAACTTCATGAAATTTGTGTAAGATAGATGTATAATGGGAAAATATTAAGAATTTAAACTGATTTTAGAATTGTTTATTCAAGGTTTTGTAAATTGTTCATGTTTCCCTGGATTATTAGTACAATGTTTAATATGAATTGTTCTTATTTCTTCATTGAAGAATATATGACCATATTTGGCATATATGACCATACTTGGATGTGACAGGATGTAACAATCTCTGTTACCGTGGTTACTCAGATAATGAATGATTCCTTCTTTTTGTGGAACACTGCTAAATATGGCAGAAGAAGAGCTAAAAATCAGCCAGAAACAAAAATTGTCCTCAAAAATAAGAATCAGAAAAACGTCCCAAGTGTCCTCAAAATTGATTTGACCCTAAGCATAGCTGAAAATTGAGATTGTTGAGGTCTAAAATTAATAGAATCCCTCACAGATATACCCCCATATACTAATATCAAATCTTAATGCAGATACCATATTGCCTTAGTAGTTTCAAGATTACAGCTAGGACAACAATACCCTTGGAATGAGTCTGACATCTAGCCTCTTTAAATTAAAACCAGGACATTTTAGATACAATAAAACTGTTTAAGTGGAACACCTTTGGTATCTAAAAGTGTTCCACTTGGGAGGTGTTCCACTTACAGAGGTTCATTTATCATTAAGTCAGTTAGTCTTGGAACTTTGAAAAATGTTCTACTTACAGGTGTGTTCCATTTCTAGAGGTGTTCCACTTTACTGGTTTCACTGTTTATATAATTAGGATGCATATTAATTTGATTCACAGTTTAATAAATGGTCATGGCAGCTGCATTTGAGATTACGAAGATTTTGTCAGCATTTTCACTGCTTAAAAAAATCTCTATTGTTATCAGAGTATAATGTGATAAGCTGATTACAAATGGCAAAGGGTAGGATTTGATATCAGTTTAAAGCATATATCACCAGAAGCTTAGAAAACATCTAAGATATTACACAGTGTGTATCTTTTAACTCTTTGCAGGATGTCAACCTCATAAACTCTCTTAAAATCTGATATAATACTTTGATCTAGGCTATATTCAGAATATAAAGACAACAAATCACCATGCACATTTTTGCATTCAGATTCTCAGGAAAGTTGCAGTAAATCCTGTGTTTTCGAACACTTCTCTAATCTGAACACAGCTTTCGATATGATCACATTTTCTCTTGGTCCAAATTCTTTAATTAAATCTCCAATTGACTCAATTGATAAAGTAACTCAAAATGTGAACACCTGCTAATCTGAACACTTTTTGCTCGTCCTTAGTGGTGTTCAGATAAGAGAGGTTTTAATGTACTAGAACTGCCAAATCCTTTGTTGTAATCAGAGTGCAATAGTGCTAGTCAATATTTATCCAGGGTAGTATCTTCTCAAGGAAGCAATGACTCATAGAGTGCTACACCTGTGATTTGGTATCTCAGAAAGATATCTTATGTATTAGAGATGTTCAAAGTATCTCTTTGATATGACATGAAACCTGGTTTTGACTGATTCAGAAAACCGCAGAATGGATAACTGTGGAAGATTTGGTTTTTTACAAGTTTGAGAATTCTTTGTTTCTTGGATATGTTTATTTGAATATATATTTTGTATTTTGCCTATTTCAAAATTTTATGATGTACAGGATGTCGCAAAGGATAGTTGAAGATATTCAATTAGACAACAATTTGCAATTTGAAAAAATTGCAGCTTCTCTCTTCATTTTATGCATTATTTTTACAATTGAATAGTTCTATTGATATTTTTTATGTTACAAATAGATGTGTGGATCAATCAGAATGCAGCAGAAGCAACATTTTATAATTAAATCTCATGCTCACATTGTTAATTAGCACATTGAAATCCCTGTATACCTACAGTAGATAACCAGGTTCCTTTAAGCTACTGAAGAGGGCTAATCTCATGAACATAGCCCTCTGTAGGTTAAATTTCTGTATAGTGGAATGTTTAGTCTTTAATTATTTTGAAAAAGATAGGTGACCAGCATTTTTTAAGTTTTCTCCCAAATCTGAAACATTCACAGTGAACGCTAAACAGTTACATATTTTGTATGGGTGTAAGCAATTTGTATGGGCGTTAAATTCAATTGATTTCTTAAAGCGCTCTTAATACATAGGGTTAATCTTATAACATTCAGGTTATACGTGGCCAAAGAACATTTATCGGTACATTAGCCATGTTGCATCCTGGGAATATTACTCACAGTTCGTCGCTAATTTCTAAATAGAAAAATGTGATGTGAATAAAATATTTTCCCCTAGATACTCACTTCTCGAATTTTATTTAGATAATTCTAGGAACAACAACTTTCTTAGTACAATGACTCTGGGTTGTAGACTTCAATTTGCGCCAGGCAGGGTTGCACTAAGTCTGAGCCTTCCCCTTCCAAACATTTTGTGAAAAATGAGAATTTAAAACACACGCTCAAATCATACTGTATTTACATTCTTATAGTCAAAATAATGTATTGACTACTGCACTGTGTAAACTAGTGTCCTGTAAATACTGCATCATCATCATGAAAGTACTGCATCATGTCAGTACTGCATCATGTAAATACTGCATCATGTAAATACTGCTCCATGTAAATACCGTATTATGTATTTTTCTCGAGATATTGTGTAGATCCTTAAATCAAAAATTAATCATGTATTTTATTTCTGTTGAAGACTCTCCGGATTAATAACCCATATTATTTGTATCTTCAGATATTGATGAGCAGCCTATACGGATAAACCTCCAAAACATCAATGATGAACTACCATACTTTGAAAATAAGCCTGAAAATTTCCTTGCGACTGTACCAGCCGATGCCCAAGCTGGACAGAGCGTGTTCCTCATGCACGCAAAGGACCCGGATAAGGGATCTCAGATTGTCTACCATCTAGAATCAGGTAAGAGCAGGCAAAAATTTTGATTTTCAAAAAACAGTCAATTTGGGTACATTTTAGAGGATTTTGTTATTATGTTAAATACATCAGTGGTGGTGTGCGTTTCTTGTATTCCAAAGGTCAGTAAGCAACTGTGAAGTCTTTTGTTTTTTGGGGTAAAGTTAAATTGAAATTATGTTTTACTGGATAAAATGATGAAATTAGTGAGTCATAGTGAATTGATATCATAATTTTAAGCTTTGATTGAATAAGAGGAGATTCACCAGAGTTCATAGTTAAAACGTCATAGACCAAATATAGTCTACCAAATGGAGATTTTAGGTATTCTCCCTCTTATTGGTTTATACTTTTGTAAAATTGTCTGTACCTGTATTACCCGTGTTCCTTTATTCATGAAATACAAATTGTACTGATCCCGCAGTCTTAAAATTAAATCCGTAAAATTGATTACGCTGCATCTGAAAATCATTTATTCTATTACAACGCAATTGGAGCCCCGTCCAGAGGGAAATCAAATCTTTTACACGTGACACTTTGGCATTTCAATTATCTTCCAATTAGAAAATGTAAAAATGTAGAATTTCATTATAGCAATGTGGAGATTGAGTCTCAAAGGTCAACTAATCCCTAAAAACTATTTGTGCTGAAGTGCAACAATAAAGTCTCAAAACACTAGGTGATATTTAGAGTGCACTCGTTCTTATATCTCACTCAAGTGTTGAAAAGCGAATGTTCACATGAGAATCTAAAATTGGTTGATTTCTGTTCTTGGTTTTATGTTGTGTTGTACATTCTTGGATTTCAAAATAATTTAGAGTTTCTGGAAATACCAATTTACTAACTACTTACTGAGATATACACTCCCCTAAAAAACTTTGTCAGTTCTGATTCACCATTGGATAATTCTTCTGAAAATCTGTTTGTATTTGACATTTTTTCCTCAATAATATTTTGGAGAAATTTTATGACACATTTATTTATTCCAAAAATGAAATTCAAACATAAACACATAAACATGTGGTCCAATAGGGGGATTTGTTTTGCCAAACATTTGAAAGGGACTGTATGTCTATTACTACTAGAATGTTTGTTTGGTGATTTGAAATAGAGACCAACTTTTGATTTTTCTATCATTCTTTGTCATATATATTGTATATTAAATCCTAAAAGTTCATTCCTTATTTAAGAAGTCTACAGATTTTAACAATTTGGTGTCAATGTTTTTGGCCTAACATTTATTGTTCACCTAGTAAACGATATGACCAAGTCTGTTGATTGCGTAAGATACATGTACATATCATTTTGAATAAAATATATTTGGGGTGTTTAGAATAAGAATTACAAGTATTGGCCCCTTGGTTGTAAATATTGCATGACGTTTTGTCACCATCTCTTTGACAGATTGTAACTTTAATTAATAGTTCAATTTCATATATCGCATGTCACAACTCGACACTTAGTTTGTCACGACTTGGCTCATGTTTAGGGGAATTAGATTCGACAGTTTAATTGGTTTAATTCACGGTTTCGTTTCCAAAATTGTCTTATTTTCACCAGGAAATATGACCTAATTTGATTTCGTTTTAAAACTGTAAATAAATTAATGTCAGATTCCCATTTTAGTTTGATTGGCCACTTTAGAAATATAGTGTTTCATGCAAGATACTTTCTGAAAACATAAAATTGTTTGAATCTTTTAGTAAACCTTATTTATACTTTTTTTTTCATTACATTATACTTAAGTTTATCAATTATTATCAAATATTTAATTAACATATTTTTTTGCAGAATCATGAACTTTTTGATTTTTGTGAGTAGTATTTTACAAAATGAATGTAAAGCCTTGAATATAAATGCCCCCCCCCCCCACACTTCCATTTTTTCTCTAAAATCTTAGATAGGTAATGGGGGAGTTGGGGACCTGAAAAAAGACTCAGAGCCTATGGAATCGACTAGGCATCTGTCCATCAACCTGTCCTTAAAATAATATTTGAAATTAGATAATAGTCATGACTGAGCCTTTTTAATAAACCGGGGAATATAGAATTGTTTAATATTATTTTTAGGTGGTGATGACTTATTCCAAGTAGATCGCACAGGGGGATATGTTCGTACCAAGGGTAACCAACGCTATACTCCAAACCGCGAGTACATCCTTGGCGTGTCCGCTGAAGACATTAACGCACCGACACAGCAGAAAACACCTATCAAGAAACTGTCTATCCTCGTTGGTGAAAGGGACCCACAGTTCTTTGAGCCAGAATATGAGGCAAATATGCCCGAAAATGCAGATCCAGATTTCTCGTAAGTTTCACGTTTTTATTTTTATTCTCCATGCTTGAATAATAATTTCCAATTTGCCCGCTGTTTTATTTTATAGCACCTTTTGGGAATTTTTATTCTTGTCATCAGAAATGCTGCTGATATATATATTAAGATCAGAAACTGTACATTAAGTGTGATACCACAATTTTACCTAAATCCATTAATTATTTCAGAATCGTAACAATCGAGGCCCACTCATTTCAAAAACATGACATCTCATATGAGCTCCTAGATGCGTCAGGGAATGAGTCGCCATTCTTCCGAATCAGGAGTGTTGACAATCGCAAAGGAGAAGTGTATTTGATCCAGAAACGTGACTATGAAACCGATCCAAATAGATATATTTTGAGTGTTACCGCAACAGAAGATGGGCCAGACAATCCTCGATCTAGCACCACTAGGGTAGGTTATTTGCATGATGTCATAAGGAGGGAAGGCCAATATGGTGTTATTGGGAAAGTCCCATAGAAACAGTATCTTAAGGGTTTTAGCCTATTTAGTTAATTTGATGTCATTAAGAGTTATCCCATTGATATGATGTCATAAGGGGAAGGTTAACCCATTGGTGTGATGTCATAAGGGGATGGGTTACAGAGGCGTAGCGTGGGTATTTTGTGATAGTACGCCACGAGTGAGCGAAGCGAACGAGTTCGAGGGGGGTTTGGGGGGGGGTTCTCCCCCAAGAAAATTTTAAAATGAGATTGCATTTGAAGAGTCCTGGGTCGGTTTGAAATACGAAATTTCGACTTAATCTGGACCAATTAAATGTAAATTATTTGTCATTTTTATCCAATATTTTATGATTACATGAACCCGTTTTGAAATACTAGTAATGGCAAGACGAAATAGGGGCTTCTTGGAAATGAAACTCGTTGGCGTCATTTTATTGTTTATAACTGTATACTCATTGTTTATAAGTAAAAACTACGTTATAAGTAACTGTGAAACTGTCATATTAAACACGTATCACGTTCATTACAATATAAGGTTCACACGCCTGTTTTTGGAGTTGGCGAATTTTTCAATGACTCTTTCGACATTCATATCTTTGGAACATGAAGCATCTGACTGTGAATATGAAGCAAAGCCAAGGCACTCAACCGGTCCTCGTCCATTTTCGATCTGAGATAAGTTTTAAGCATTTTCAGAGCACTAAAGCTTCTTTCAGCACAACATGTAGAGACTGGCAGACACACAAAAAGTACGAACATCCCAAACTCGTACGCTAACGAACGTAAAGAAGCTCGCAGCCGTACAAAAATATATGTATTTCGGGGAGAAAATTTAGATTGTTACAACACCATTTAAAAACAAACAACACAGGATTAGAACAAATCATTTATTTTGTTTTTCATATATGATTGTTACTGTTACTATTATCTTACTATTTAAGATCTATCCAGTATTTTTAAAGTGCGGGGCAATTCATTAAAAAAAATCATTTTTCTCTCAAATTTGAGAGTACGCAATGGCGTTTTTTGCGTATATGACGCTATGCCATTGGGTTATTCCTTTGACATAATATCATAAGAGTAAAGGGAAGGCATGGGAATATTAGACTGGAGGCCTGTGTTCAGAGGATGAGTTCACTGTAATGAAGGGATGAAATAGATTTTAATATTTATGAAATCTTAGACCTTTAGCTTAATGTGCACAGCTGGCATGTAAATGCATCAAAATCATTCACAAATACCTCAAGGTATCTTAATAGTTAACTAATGAGGTATAATCTCTAAAAATAACTACTAATTTCACCTCCAAATTAAAATCTTAATAAGATGCTGTAACAAGCAATTAGTGGTTAAGTTAACTTTTCTCAGTGGTTAAGTCCAGAGTATTGCCTTACGTTTTAATGGACAGGCCAATTATCGGTTGAGATAATTCAGTCTAAATAGAGAATGTACCATGAATGTACAAAGTGGAGACTGAGATAATGTTGTACAGATAGCAGTATCCAGATAACCCCAGAACAGAATTTTTGAATGGCAAAGGGCAACATTAGAAAAAAGCTTCATAAACTCTTAATAAGCACACAATGTGAAAGGGATAAATGACAACTTTACATTCAACTGCAGAATTCAGTACACACCTTTTCAAAATATACTCTTTGCATTCGTTTGACTTCGCTCCTTATAGCTTTAAAGAGAGCTTCGACTTAACTTGATAGTTTATAGGTAGACTCTGATAAAGATAAAAGTATTTTTCAACTGTTCATTCCTTGACCTCTCTATGGTCATTTCTTCATGTTCATTAATGTAGTGAGCATCTATCTATTCTACACATTTTTAAACTAATTCAGGTAGATTGAATTCAAATTTTGAGTAAATCCTATGACAGAGTGTCTCTGGGTCTCAGGTCTTGTAATTTTAGGTAGTCCAGGATTTGAATTCCAACATTCATAAATTTTCATGTATTTTTTATTATACTACTGTTACACCCTATGCTTAGTGAGCGGACCTAATTTCAAGGGTGATGGTAAAGACGAGGCATGGCGCCCAAACCTGGCCTGTAACTAGGTGCACTGATGCTTTCTTCGCAAATTACATCGCCATTGCTCGTCATCGAAATTCTGATCGCCGAATAGACACTCTAGTAAACATTCATTTTGCATTGGATGTACATAACTAGAGACCGTCTTATTTCGCATATATGAAAAAATAAAACATATCTAGGTACATATATCTTTATATGTGACATCGATCAGGAATTATTGACATATTGACAATATTAGGTTGTAATTTCTTGCGGTAAATTCAAATTGTATCTTTAAACGACTGTTTCATCTTAACTATTCGTTTTATTGGATGTAAAACAAACGGTATGCATAGTTTAACATCTTTCACTTCTAAAACAGCATAAAATATCACAATATCATCACCTTATGCTGCAATAATACGACTTAAAAGATTATGGTACTAATATTTTTTGGTTTTTGGGCGCCCTGCCTCGTCTTTACCATCACCCTTGAAATTAGCTCCGCTCACTAAGCATAGGGTGTGTTAGTCTCTCCCACATTGATGTCAATTTCTTCTTAATTCCTACGTATTTCTACTCTTTTCCAGTTGGTGATCAACTTAATAGATATCAACGACAACAATCCTACATTTCCACTGTCAGAATATATTCCTCAAAATTCTGTAGCTGAGACAATTGCAGAGGGCACTGAGATCACTAGAGGTAAGAAACAGGGCATTGAATGAGGGCATTGAGATAAATAGGACTAAAGAAGCTATTCAGATACATGTATTTAAAAAGAAATTGATGCACACATGCTAAAAGCAAAAAAAGATTGATTGAATGACTCCTGAAAATATAAAGAACATGAGGGAAGCAATAAAAAAGCTTGACCCATACAAAAGCATAGACCCAGCCCAGAAAACAGTACTAATGATACTACAAAAGAACTAATTGAAAAGGTTATTCTGTAAAGAATGTTGAGAAAACCCACATGTCAAGATTTTTGAATTTACACTTGTTGACTTAAACCATGGTCTTCCTCAATATGTTTCAGTGACTGCAATTGACAAGGATGCGGGTGAGAATGCCAGGCTACAATACAGTATTCCCAATGATGGCAACTTCACTATTGAGACAAGGAACAATGTGGGGATCATCAAAACTGCCAGGTATCTGAAAAAAGGGAATACAATTTTATTTTGAAACTTTCAGTGAGTAAGTCTTGCTTACCTGATGGGAATCACAGTCCATGATTTGCTCAAATATCTTTGAGAAAGAATGGGTAAACACCATAGGCCCGCAATACAAGACCAAGTCTGAACCAGTAAATGTAAATACACAATGGGCAATATTTCAAAGGCAATTTGATCAGGTTCATTTTAATGTCACATATTTAATAATGAATAAAGAAATGAAAAATTTGTAAACGAACAATTTGGAGTTGCAATAGCGAAGAATTCAAAACCTGATTGTATAAAAACAACACTAGACTGGAATATCTATTTATAATGAAGCTCTATTTACAAGTAAAAAAAATTAAAATATTCATCATAACATATCAGGTGAAAACTTGAAAATATTGCATTCATTTTTCAGACGGCTTGATTACGACTTCATACCGGATCATACCTACAAATTCCAAGTGGTTGCCGTTGACAATGGTGAACCACCACGTAGTGGTTCTGCCATGGTCCGTGTGTCCATAACCAATGTCAATGATGAACCTCCAATGTTTAATCCTTCAGTTATTGAAGCTAGAGTTAATGAAGATGCTAACCCAAATACTGTGGTCACAGTCGTACAGGCCTCAGACCCTGATGGCGATCGAGTCACGTTTTCTCTCAAAGGTAAGTTAGCATTCTTGGATGAATCTTCATAAAATTGCATTCAAAATTTCCATATCAATTTATTCATGAATCATAGTCACTTAATCTCCAATGGATAGTAGAATTTATTTTTATTTTTCCAAATGGTGACATGATTTGTAGTTTTTATTTGCATTTTTATGTATGCCCATACTGTTTTAGGCCCATCAGGACCATTTGAAATGAACCCTAACTCTGGAGTAATTACGCTGGTTGAAAGAATCAACACAAATGCCGTGAAATATGTCCTTAACGTCACGGCAACTGATGATAATTCCTGTTGCCGTAGTGGCACCAGACAACATAGCGATGGTGTCGTAATCATTGAGGTTATAGACGTCAACAACAATGCACCAAAATTCCCCGATTGTGACTCTTATAACCCGACAATTCTGGAAAATCAAAACATCGGTCTTTCAGTTATAACTGTATCAGCTCAGGATTTAGACAGTGGGAGTAATGGTGAAATCAGATATTCAATCGTTAACTCCCCAAATCAGGATAGTGATTTATTCGAGATTGATCCCTTTAATGGCACCATAACAACATCAAATGTTTTCGATCGTGAGAGCTCAAATAACGTCAAAGAATACGGAGTGACAATAAAGGCTGCAGATAGAGGGAGCAGCAGCTTGGCTGGACTCTGCAACTTCAAAGTGAAAATTGGTGATTTGAACGATAATGACCCCACCCTTGATCAAAGCAGCTACCAGATTACCATTCCAGAAAGTATCGAACTTAACACTAGAATCCTGAGGGTCTACGCCAATGACAGAGATACTGGGATAAATGCCCAGGTTTTCTACGAACTCGTATCTGATCCTTCAGGATTCTTTGCGCTGGATAGAGAATCTGGTTGGTTGAGCGTTGTCAAGGCGATAAACCAGGTAAACATTTAAAAAGAAAAGTGGATCAAACTTTAAAGAATAAAGTCAACCTATAAAAACTGTCAGTTGATTATGAAGCAACTTCTCTTAATTTATTAAACCTAAAAATCTCAATTAAGAGGAAGCTCTTTGAAAAGAAGTATTGATGATATTTTAAATTGAGATATAGAGGTTGAGCTAGTTGAGTAGTTAAGAGTAAATAATTTTAGAATGAGTTACTTGATACTTCAATATTTGTACTACCCCCTCCCCACCTGGCATGCAATATCAGCAACATCTTCCACTTTACATATTTATTAATATACTAACTGGTATATATTGCATTCCAGAGAGAGAAAGTGATCCTTGAGGTGAAGGCAACAGATCGTGGCACCCCTCCAAGGTCAGACACTGCCGAAGTTGAAATCTCCATCAAGGATACTGTGAACAAGCCACCTGTGTGGATCGAAAACATAGACAATACACCAATCACAATACTTGAGAACACCCCACAGGATGACGTCGTAGGGACGTATCGTGCGCAATCTCAAATTGAGGGTAACCCAGGTGTGAGCTACTCCATCCAAACTGGGGTATCACCCGAGAGTAACAACCCGAAAAGTTTTTTCTCTAGGACTATCGATACGGGGAATTCAGATGTCCCATCAGCTATGGAAGTTCTTGTCCTGGATTATTTGGATTATGAGAAGATCCCAGAGTACATTTTGACATTAAGAGTTGCAGTAAGGATTCAACCCTCTTACCCTTTTCAATAATAATTTTACTTTCACTCTCTGACTATGAGATAATCCTTTGATCAGCCAATCAGAAAAGGTCATTCAAAATTCAACTTCACGAAGCTATGCCTCCATACTAATTATCCATGTCAATCTTGCTTCCTCTGCACTTTTTAGAGAGAAAACTGTAATTTTATTTCATTATTTTCTTTTCAATTTCAGAATCGCGCTGGCAACCCTCTTCACACGGAGGCTCATCTCACAATACGGCTAATCGATGTGAATGATGTCATCCCGCTATTTGAGGGAGTTGATGAGAACAACCGCTATCCCGCCAGTGTTGCAGAGAATGCCCTCATTGGGACGTCGGTCGTTGTTACACATGCTGTTGATACTGATGTTACACCTGAATTCGCAAGGGTAAGCTCAAAATTTTGATTTTATTTGAAAAACAGTGTAGAAGTAGAATTTTTCTGGATCAAGTTAGTTATTGTTCAAGAATAAGATTTATTACAAATAGCGTGTGCAATTAAAGCCAATTTTCAATTAGATAAAAAAATTTAAAATTGGAACTTATGAGTTTGTTAAAAATAAAAATATCAGACTTAAGTCTATTTCATGGCATTGTCTCCTTGGGGTCGTGCATACTAGAAGGAAAGGAATGAATGGAAACACTTTGAGATTGACTGCTTGGACATTGGCATATACTGCTTGAACATTGGCATATACTGCTTGAACATTGGCATATACTGCTTGGACATTAACTGCTTGGACATTGGCATATACTGCTTGGACATTGGCATATACTGCTTGAACATTGTCATATATTCCTTGGACATAGGCATATACTGCTTGTAGATTGGCATATATTTTTGTTGTAGAATGGCATATATTGCTTTCAGATTTTCATATACTGCTTAGAGATTGGCCCTATATATTTTGTAATTGTCATTCAAGGTCACCTATGGTATTGAAGAGAAAGGCCAGGATTGGCGGAAATTCAGCATTGACCCTGTGACAGGTCTTGTTGAGACAATGGCTCAATTTGACCGTGAAGAACAGAGTGAATACTTCATCACTGTCTATGCGGAAGATGGAGCACCATCTGCACGTCCTAAGTCAAACGGGAATCCTAACCGTGGTATGTGTTATTTCTGAAAAGTCAATAATGTTATTTGATTTAATGCTTTTTTAATAAAAGAAAGTGAGCTATTGAAAGGTTCGTGTAAATAAACCAATTTTGATTTGTGTAAAATGTACCAAAATTGATGTGTCTATTCCAAATTAGGATATGCTGAGGTACACATCAAGATCTCTGATGTTAACGACAATAGACCAACATTTGCTGCAAGTATTTATAATGCTACCGTGGATGAAAATGCCGACACTGGACATATGGTTGCCACGGTAACTGCTGATGACAATGATGAAGGTATGATAAAAAATAACAGATCAACAGTGTATTTTTTTATAACTATTAATTAATTTTAATTTAATTTATAAGTATTAATTTGTAATTTATGAAGGTGAGGTAGAAAACAATCTCTTTTTATTCCATTTTTAATGTATCTTCTAACTGTGAAAAATGAAGATTATACTATTTTATGACACCATTGAAGTGGTATTTTAATACCAATTTGACCAACAATTTTTATGTATTTCCAGCGAGTATCCTCCAGTACTCAATTATTGACGTCACAGTAGATCGGGGAAGTAGCGGCAACGAATTTGCCGTCAAACAAGACACTGGCGAGATCTATGTTGCGGGGAAACTTGACTATGAAAACGGCCCTCGGGAATACACATTGCGTTACAGGGTGTTTGACGGACTTTTTGATAATACATGTGCCGTCGTAATCAAGGTCCAGGATGTTAACGATAATAAGCCAGTTTTTACGCAGTCAGAATACACAGTTAGGAATATACAAGAAGAGAGCACGGATAATCCAAAGTTTCTTGTTCAGGTAGGTGGATTGAAATGTGTTGATTTTAATTTCATGACAGACACCAACCTTACTATTTATATTTATTATTAATTTGATTGATTTGTTTAGATCTACGCTTCTATAGCACTGCGGAGTGGTGTTGGAATTTTCTTAGAAAGTGTATTTTATTCACTATCAAGGGCTTCTTTGAAAAAAATATTCTGATTTAAATAACTTTTCATGAAATACTGAGATATAACTATCATTGGCCAAGGAACATGTTTAATTAATGCAAAATTGAAGTTTGCTTGCTTATGTCTTTTCATAGGGGATAAACAGTCTTCAAACTTAGGATTTGCAAAATATACATTTTCCTGGACCTGTCATTGAAATATTTCTTAGATTCTTCACATTGTATCTCAGTTTAGATGTGTTCCATTATGTCAAATTTTACTCGACTAACACATTTGTATGTTTGGATTAATAGAACGCACGTGGGAGAAAGTTCAAGGTATTTCAATGTTGTAATGTTGTAAATAATTGTTGTGGACCCACAATTTCTCAGCCCTTACTTTTCAATGATATCGACCCCCTCCCTATAAATGGAGGCTTGCATTTCAATATTATGTTGTCTTTGTACTAGTTATGTCACCAGCACAAGTGATGACATATTGTTATAGTCTCCAACTTTTATATGGATGGTGTTTGTCATCCAGCATCCGACGGTCGGTGTTCAGAGTTCGATATCTTAACAAATGGCAGGTGGTGACATTTTGCATGTTAATGCCTTGTATACTTGTTGTTGTGTTGAAAATTAACGAAGAGGAAATGTCTTTGTATTCAGTTTACAAATGCACCTTTAATTCTAGTGCATAATGCACACTGAGTATGAGACTGTCATTGCACACTGAGAAATGTTATTTATTATTACTGCAAAATAAGTTGTATATGTTAATATTCCTCACATGTGGTTTTAAATCATTGCTTCTGAAAAACACATTTATGTTGATTGAATTGTTACACAACATCATTGTGACATTTTATCAATGTGACTTCATATTTACAGGTCAGTGCGACAGATCCAGATACAATGCAGAACACCAATATCCACTATCGACTAGAAGGCCAGTATGCAGAGGACGGCACATTTGTCATCGACCCCAACACCGGGGAGATCTCCGTCACTAGGCCTTTAGATCGGGACAGTCCTAAAGGGACAGAGGCATATGAGGTAAAGAATCTGGTTGGATTGCACTCATTCGCCATCTATTTAATCAAATAAAGTTTATTTGTGTTTATATGTGTAGATTATAGAAATCTTACACTTCTTGATTGAATTCTTTGCTTTACATGTAAAATATAACATAGATTCTAGATAGCATGATAGCATTCATCTTGAAGAATAAATTTGGAGTGATAAAAGAAATTAAAGAATTAAAAAAAATTAGGGATGCTATGGCAAAAAAACGTTCGAGACTATTACCCAATTAAGCTATAGCTTTCCTGCATGTATGTATATAAAACCCAAGATATGTTTGAATTCAGGTGAACGTCTTGGCGGATGATGAACCAGGACAGCCGTCATCACTAACTGGTGTAGCCGTTGTGAGAATCTTCCCAACAGACATCAATGATAATGCTCCGGAGTTCACTGGCTCTTTGATTGGACACGTCACAGAGCATGCTAGTGCAAGTAAGCTATATTTTGATCTTCGTTAATTTTTTCTATTTGCCATATTAGTCTATATTTTGTGATATCAATGTCTTAAGCCAATTTTCGTAAGAATATTCATTAAAATTATTTTTAATTACAGTAATTAGAATATGATGTCATTTAATTTAAATTGGATAACCACATAGCTGCTTTCAATGTCCAAAATTATTAGAATCATTTAAATATTCCCTTGACTAATAAGATTCCATAAATGATCTGTAAATGTTATGTTTTCCCTATTTCATTCTCAAGTCATCACCAAGATGCGGTGATATACTGTTATAGACACTGCTTTTTGTGACTTGCGATTTCAGGAATAATTTACCTTATTCATTGTAATCCTATACCAAACATTATCTCATTCCAGATGATCCTGTGCTAACAGTAAGAGCAACTGACCCAGATGAGTCCATCAACGGGACCGTCACATTCAGCATACGACAGTCTCCAATAGCTCCAAATGGTCAACGTCTGTTTAAAATTAACCCTGACACTGGGCTTATCTCCACGACAACAGCGAATAGCCTCGATAGGGAGATTCCTGGCCAGGATAGATTTGACAATATAATAGTAGTGGCCTCAGATCGAGGATCTCCTGGGAAATCAAGTAAGTTACTTTTGGCATAGTCTCAAATGCAAAATGGATTGAATTTGAATTTGGACCTACATGTTCACAATTTACCCAACCCCACCCCTGCATTGAAAAGCAACCCTAAAATTCATATTAGTTCACTTTTTAGGAACATTCTTTGATAGGGATGATTCCTAGTGTCCTCTACACCCTTTTCAACCATTCCTGTGGTCTCAATTGCAAAATGGATTGAATTTAACTGACCTGCATATTGCTCGACCTCACCCCACATTAAAATTGATCCTTGAATAAATATATTGAATTGATAACAAAACTATAACAAAGAAAAAGAAACATTTAAGAACACAACCAATAATAGGAAAACAATCCCCAAAATCCTAAAAACTATAATTCAATACACAAAGAAACAATGTCACCCCTTCCATCTCGTAAATATATGATTATCATAGAATATTCAAAGAAACTTTGAAACTCCTTCTCCCTCTTTTAAATGTATCCATCTACTTTGTTCTTCCAGCTAGTGCCACAGTCACAGTCATTGTGGATGATATCAACGATCAACGTCCTGTCTTCACCGAAAAACTCTACACGACAACAATGTCTGAGAGTCTGCCAAAAGAGGCCTCTGTCATGTCTGTTCAGGCTGTTGATGGAGATATTGGGGCAAATGCCGTTTTGACATATTCTCTGCCTAACCCTGATGATAGGAAGTATTTTAAGATCGATAGCGTTGAAGCCACCAATACTGGCGTCCTTAGGATTCATGAGGTAATTAATGATGTTTTAAGAGACATAGTGATCACGATTTAGATATATGATGATACATAAGAATATATCATTTATTGTGTATTACAAATATGATATTCAATGTTATTTGATCGAGATATATCTTCAGTTAATTAGTTCAACAGTATCAGAATAGCAAAGATTGCCACATCGTAAATGGAAATATATTTTGCAATCTTTGTCTATTTCAGCAAGTGGACTTTGACACGTTAGACAGTCACTTCTTCAACCTGACCGTCCAAGTCACTGACCCAAACCCAGAGCACAAAGACATTGCCTACATTCAAGTTCATGTGACTGATTTCAATGATAACGCCCCTGAGTTCTCACCTCCACATATTCCTGTCACTGTTCCGGAGAATGTCACAATTGGATACCCCCTGGCAACATTCACGGCAACAGATAAGGATCAAGAAGGGGAAAATAGTAAATTTGAGTAAGTGAAGATTTCATTCTGGATATTTTATATTTAAGATTATCTTATATTGTATATGCCTTATATTGTTCTTATATAATGGTATTTGTAGATTGGACACTCAGGAAAATAAAAAGATCTAGAGAAATGAAAAAAATTCTCATATGACCCAGTTATTTTACCATGATTTCAATATGGTATTTAGTACACAAGTATTTGAATTTCCTATAGAAAGCACCCCCACTTTACTGATACCTATATAGAATGTTGATACTAAATTAATTATAAACCGTTTCCCTCCAGGTACAAAATTGATCGCGGCACTGACAAAAATCGTCAATTCTCAGTTGATGACGCAGGAGTAGTTCGTGTAGCAAAACCTTTAGATAGAGAAACTGACCCGGATCACAAAGTTTACATCCTTGCAGTAGACAAAGGTAAAGTAAATTTTTCTTCAGAAATTTTTTTTTCATCGACATATTATTACTTCAGAGGACTAGTTGCATCATTCTTTGGATTTAATGCAGTAATTCATTTAAATGGCATGAACAACTCACGACGTGAATCAATAGACAATTCATGAATAAATTTTATAATTTTATTCTTGCTCTCTTAATCCAAATCATGGTGTTTCAAATTCTGTAAAATTCTATAATTTCTGTTTAGTTCACTGAAAAAATAGCTTTAGATTTTGTATCTATGATGTCATGAAATGTGTCTTACGTTTCACAAAAATTTAATGACTAAAAAAATAAATAAATCAAAATTTCTCTCCAGGTTCACCTCCGCTAACCGGCACAGGAACTCTGACAATCACGCTGACTGATATTAACGACAACTTCCCAGAATTTGCTGAAGACTACCACCCTGTTGTATATGAGAATGAAAGTCCCCAAGACCCCGTAGTGACAATCAGAGCAATGGATCCCGATGATGATACCAATGGACCCCCATTCAAGTAAATACATACAGTATATTTTGAATACAATATATCTAAAATACAATACATTAAGGTACAATATATTTGAAGTACAAAAAGACCTCCATTCAAATAAACATCTGGTACTTTATCTTAATTAGTGGATGATCTAAAAAACAATATATCTGTTGCATATCTAAGATACAGTATACCTAGACTACAATACATTGAGACTACAATATAAATTGAAATGTTTCTGAAAAACAGTATATCAAGAGTACAACATATCTATGATACAATATATCTAGACTACAATACATATAGAATACAATTTATTACATGTACACTTGTATGTGTTTTTCACCAGGTTTTGGTTGCCATGTAACGGGGGATGCCCTTGTGAGCAAAATCCAACTTGTGATGAGTTTACAATGCAATTTGTCCAATGTAAGTACAGTCTACAAATATGTTATTCTTCTGAAGTTAATACTTATGAATCTCACAAGTTCATCCATAAACTCCAAAATGGAATGAGAATGTTAAAAAAAACATAAGAAAATAAATAAATAAATAATTATGTAGAATTTTGACCAAATCAGAAAACATGACATCCCAAAATGTTTTGTTGTATTCCATTGTGTCATGCATTTTGTGTTTATCCCCATTCTAGCTGGAGACAGCCTCAAAGGTGCTGGAATCGTCAAGGCCTTAGTCCCAGACTTTGACCGCGAGAAGCAGAAATATTACGAGATCCCTATTATCATGAAAGACACTGGAAATCCGCCAAACAGTGGTACAAACACGCTTACTGTCACCATTGGCGACCGCAACGACAACGATCATTTCCCGGGACATCAAGACATCTTTGTGTACAATTACAAAGGTGAGGATAGGCATACTGTTTTTAATTAAAAGGGTTCTGTTTCAAATACCCCAATTTTTCAAATCTTTAACAGCCTGCAGATGCACCATTAAGAGACTTTGATAGTAAGATTTTTTCTGAAAATACTTAGGATTAAAAAATTGATCATTGAGGAAGTGTCTTGTCAAATTCATAAGAGGTGTAATTCACTTACTTTGTGGACAATCTTTTGAAGAACTAATATTTATTGAAAAGTAGGTTTTCATCATAGTCTATTGATCGTGGGAGAAACAGGCTCAGAAACAAAATCTGACATTTGTTTAGAATTTGGTGTGTGTAAAGGAACAGAAATAGGCATTGAGTCCCTTTAATATATTGTTAGATTAATAAGGCATGGTTTTTGATTCCCTTCCCTTTTATAAAGTGTGTACTGTAGTAAAAATCATGACCAAAGTTGTGCACACCTCAGCACACCTAATTTATGAACTGAATATTGGTGTGCTGAATTGTGCTGATGTGCTAGTGTGCTTAGTTTTGATAGTGAATAGAGTCTAAAAAAATGATTTTGGTTCATGAAATACATTTTTAAGTTATTCAATAAATTCAAAGACTGAAGATTAGAATGGTACAATTTGAGTCGCATGTTGTAAATTCCGAACTAAAAATAAAATGAAGATTTATATTTTATACTTTGAATGAAAAAGTTGCAAATACCTGCTATTCAATAGTAAATGCATGTTTTAACCTTTATATATTATTTATGTTTAACCCTTATTAGACTGGGAGCCAACAAGTAAGTACAGTGGTGAAAGGGTTAACTATGGTTGTTGTGTTGTGTTATGTGTGTGTAGAATTAGATAGTATTTATTGTATTTATTGTAGATTGGTGTATCAATGAGGACATTTGTGAATGCAAGAAAGATTTTTCGAAGCATTTTTCTGACGTGAAATGTCTTTGAAAGTCTTTAAAAATAAAATGGTGTTGTAATTCATGTAATTACTCTGTAAGCTTTTTCAACTCTTTACATTGGTGGTTTCTTTGTGTTTTAGACTTTCTATTTCTTAAATACTATCTGCTACATTTTCTCTTGAGCTGTGTGAATGGTTTAGGGGGCTGGAAAGGGTAGTTTTAAAGTGTCAGAATGTTAACAAAATCTTCTGAACCATCAAGAAAAAGTATTTTGGCAAGATATTGTATGTTATAAATCAACATATATATTTTTCTTTTCTCTAAATATTGATTATGTGTGAAATAGTTGGAATCAAATAATTATGAAATTATTTTAAAATGCTTTCACATACTGGCACTTTAAATTCTAAAGGCTATTCACATCATTCTCACATGTTGTCTTTGGGCTGAATTTTAGAATATTTAGAAATACACAACTTTAAGTGTCATTGTTTTGTGTTGTGTTTCCTTTTGTTAATACTTTGTGTGTATGGTTGTCACGTGAGAAATGCACAAACTTTACTTGTGTAGAAATATGGATGTGGGCTGTACATTTTCACAATTTCAGCTTACACATATATTTTTGGATGGAGAATTCATGGATCCAGATTTTCTTAATTGTTGTAGTTTTGAGCTTGTTTAATGTTATATTAACAATTATTGGCTCTGTTATACAATAACAATATTCAATAAATAATTTGATAATGTTACAGGGTGGGACTTAATGATGTGCTCATTTTTGGACGATAACTTATCTTGCTAGATATTTTTATGCATTACTTAAAATGTTTGAATCCTCAAAATATCCGAAGAGTTGCAGTTCAATTATGGGATGGCTGATGATTCTTATGAATAGCAATGACCAGTGATCTCCCAAGCATTAAAGCAAGTGGGTGCAGCACCCACCTGAGATTTTGAAAATAGTCTTGCACCCACTTGAAAATGAGAAAAATAGGCATATTTTGACCAATTTTGGTCTGAATTGTGGAAATGAAAAATTTGCGCCCACTTGATAAAAAATCCTGTGGAGATCATTGCAGACCTAAGTTAGCTCATCTATCATATGTTTTAAATCAAATTTTTGTTACAGGTGAATTTGAAAATGCTCCGTGTGGCTATGTCTATGCTCAGGATGAAGATGATTGGGACCGAGAGGATAAACGGTTTGAATTTGTTGGAACAAAACCAGCACAGTTCGAGTAAGTTGATATAAAATTTGAAAGCAACATGCCAAGCTGTTGAAAATCTGTTAGCACACTGTCAACTTGATGAAATGTTGAGATATTTGAACAAAACCAAATAAAAATGAAGATTAAGCAAAAAATTGCAATTCAGTTTTTTCTAATGTTAACAAGCATTTTTATTATGAATATACAAGTATAATAATATAAATGAAAATAACAATTTTGTACATTTTTATATATACTTTATATCCCATAATTTCAGCCTTGATCTGGTTGGTGGAATGATCTATATGAAGTTTGGCACGAAAGATGGAATCTACACATTCAATGTGCGAGTATATGACCAAATAAGGGACAAATCTGCCGTCTCATCTGTAAAAGTGACAGTACAAGAAATTGGCGATGATTGTGTTAGAAGTTCTGGTTCTCTTAGACTTACTGGTTGGTATTTCTTATATGATAATCATTTTATTTTATCAATTATTCATTATTATACATTTAGGGTTTGTTACTCACCTGACAGCATTACAGACCAATCGTTGCACTGTGAAGTGCCATATTTTATAACAATTGACTGTAGTTTTACACATTCTTGAACTACTTTTGAAGCTAGTATGGTCTTATTTAAGTAAGTGACATTGTCTTTTTAAAAAGTCTTGAGCATTGAGTGCACCTGCACTATAAAATTCATCCGTCTGCATTTTTGTACTTTCAGACCTCACTGCTGAAGAGTTCCTAGCCAGGCCATATGAGGGGCCTCCTCTGACCAAATATGGTGATAGCAAAAGAAGTATACTTCAGAAGAAGCTTGCAGAGATGTTGAACACTGCAACAGACAATGTTGATATATTTACATTAAGGAATCATCCAGATCTGAAACGTACACTTGATGTGCGATACTGTGCTCATGGCTCCCCCTATTATAAAGAGTCAAAACTAAATGGTCTAATGGAGCAAAACAGGGATGAGGTATGAACCCATACATGTTTATTAAGGTTATTTGGACAATACCTGTAAATTATGCCGTATGTTTTCATTTATACAGATGCAGAGCAGAAATAGGATTAGTTTTATTCTCAAAATCTTCTTACACAACTTCAAAATCAAATTGTTTTTACATGACCTTGAAAAGTAGGAATTTAGAATTGTTTCAAAAAAGTTTAAAATGATAAGGGAACTTTAAAATTTTTGAGAAAGTTGAGTCATCCCTGTAATGGTTGAAGGGAAATATAAAAAATATTAAAGTCAATTTTCATTTCTTTTTTTCCTGTTTCAGTTTGCTGCTCTTGGATTTAACATTGCTCAAATTCCCGTTGACGAGTGCTACAAAGAGATTTGCGAATCAGGTGGTTGTGAGAACCGTTTAATAACCACCAATAAACCACTGCTCATCAACTCAAATGGAACGTCCCTGGTGGGCGTGACTGCCTACATTGAGGCTGATTGTGTTTGTGCAGCGAAGACATTCTCTGATAACCTTGAGACTTGTAGTTTTGGCGTGTGTAAAAATGGTGGAACTTGTGTCGATCAAGATGAGTCCGGTTTCCGGTTAGTGTTTAATGTGGTCAAATTTCTTTGACATTTGCATTAAAATTATATGGGAATATGAAAACAATATTTTATGTCGCATTTCTTCTTGTGAGTTGGGATATATTTAAAATGAAAGAAACCATACCTGATAAGTGATTTAACAGTTTCGGATGTGTATGAATAACTTTTGTTTTATTTCTTTATTTAAACTATATTTGTTACTTACTTTGTTTATTAAGCTGTATCTGCCCAGCTGACTTTGACGGAGCACGCTGTCAACAAACTAAACACAGCTTCAGTGGCGATGGATGGGCATGGTTCGAGCCCCTCAAACAATGCGAGGATAGCGTCACCAGCCTCTCTTTCATCACAGAGGAGCAAGACGGTATTATTTTATACAATGGACCCCAGCGGCCAGTCACTGGTGAAGAATTTGAAGATTTTATTCTCTTGGAGTTGATTGGTGGATTCCCACAGCTTAGGATCAATCACGGGTCGGGAGAGACATCAGCACCTCTAAGGATTCTGGGATTGACGTCCGATGACGAGCAGGTCCTCGGGAAGCTGAATGATGGTGAATGGCATAGGATTGACATCTATAGGGAGGGAAAGGTAACGAATACTAAAAATGATTAATTATAAGTGAAAGCGTCAAAGCGTAATAGCCCCAGGCATATTAGTTGTGAAGGTTTACAAATAATCGTATAAATCAAGGAGGGGTTTGTAACCCTTTGACATATCTGACCAGACAGTGATACTCTGATATGTAATGCATCAATGTTTGCATTGTTATGTCCATGTTCATCTAGCACCCTTCGTGGTTATTTAATACAAATAAAAACCTTAATTACAGAAAGTAAGAATGGTCGTTGACCAGTGTGTGAAGTCCACAATTAGCGAACAAGGAGCTAACACTGTAGAAGATCGCACTGCCTGTGAGGTTATCGGGGAAACCAATGGTGACAATATGTACCTTAACGTCAAGGACCCTCTCCAATTAGGAGGTGTTTCCATGGAGAACCCCAAGTTCCCTAATAAGATGAACACTAAGGGCTTTAATGGCTGCATTAAGGACCTTGTGCACAATGGAGAGGTAATACTGATCGATAATGTCTGGTTTAGCATTTTGGTCAAATTAAAGAATCTTTTTTATTTGACATACAGAAATGAAAAGAGTGAAGAATTTCTTGAGAATTATTATATATTTTGGAATTAGGTTTCGTTGAAACAATTTGAAAAAAATAAAATCAAAGACATAAAGTCTTTGAAAAGAGTATGTTTTTTTTATCTTCAACATTTAATATGCCACATTGGAATGGAAATGGGAAATCAGCGGTTTCATTTCATTGTTTCCTTTCCAGTTATATGACTTATTCATTGGTCGAGAAGGAATGCACGAGAACTCTGAAGATGGCTGCCCTCGTGAAGACGTCATCTGCGGTGCAAACAGCATAGATGGTTTGAAGTGTGGAATCCATGGAAAATGTATCGGCAGTTTTATAGATGGCGTCTATAGATGTATGTGCGATCCAGGCTATAGGGGAAGCAAATGTGATACCAGTAAGTGTCATGACATTTTATGATGGTCGTATTTTAAAATGTGAAAAAGAGAGCAATTACTGGAATTACAAGGAATAACGGAAACAGGAATGACGTAAACGCTCAAAATATATGGAAATGTATGAATAACAGACACTTTATTCAAATAAAGAGAGAAATGAGTTGAATTACAAGGAATAAAGTAAACAAGGATGTAATTAACACTCTAAATTGTATAGAAATGCCAGAAAACCAGACATTTCATTCAAATTTTAGAGAGAAATGAGTTGAATTACAAGGAATAAGGTAAACAGGTATGTAGAGAAGACTCTAAATTATATAGAAATACAGGAAAATCAATGATGTTCACTCAAAATATAGAGAGAAAACATTGAAATTAGCATGACTTAAGAGAAACCTTATGAGAGGAATTCGGTGTGACATTTTACTTGCATGTATCATATATTGAATCTCTTTTTAAACTGAGACATTTTCAATAAAGCAAATGACAAAAATGTACATTTGTAGAACAGAAATTAAATACATATATCTCGTTTTTAGATACGACAACCAGAGATTTTGGCGAGGACAGCTACATAGAATGGGACTTTAAAACTGACTTCTACAATACGCTGAGCCAAAGAAAGAATACTATACAGCTCATGTTTAGGACAAGGCAAGATGAGGGACTGCTTTTCACTGTTAAGACTGACTTCAAAGATGAATACATGAACCTGGAGGTAAGCTCTAAAAAGTGGAACAAAAGATATGTTGAAAATATATAAGATGTATTGACAAATATTTATCCACCCCCCACCTTTCATTTTTTCTATATTATAATCTTACGCAATACAACGTGGCACAAAAATTTGTTGAAATACGAATGTTGATATTCTGTTTTTTCAATATTATACTCTTCCATTGATTAATGGAAAAAATAATCAGACTAAAAAGCAGTATCTATAGCTCCTAAACTCATTTGCTGACATCAAGGTTAAAACAAATCATATTGCCCCTTTGAATAAAATCCATATCCTTTCCCTTATATTCAATAATCATTATTCATATTCACCTCCAGATCAGAGACAAGAAGATCCAGTTCCGTTACAACCTAGGTGGCGCTGTCAACATCCTGCCCCTTAGTTACGTGAATGTCTCAGATGGACAGTGGCACGTAGCCAGAGTGGAGCGTATGGGAAAACAAGTTACTTTGAAACTTGATCATGGGGAAGGTAGGATATCCTTAAATGAACATCGCCATTCATATACATTACCATACTAAAATTAATGTGATCACTTAGCAAAAATGAATATGTTTTGTTAAACAATTGAAATATTTTGAATTTTTAAGAGGTATGCTAAAATGACCTTATAACTGTGTTCCTTTACTGATACTATAGTTCCCTTTAACACAGGAATAAAACCCATATTTAATCCCTGATGGTGAATAACCTGTGTACATATGCTTCATATCATAATATCACAGTTTGGGATTTTAATATCCACCAATTAATGAGGAAAAATCCCAGAGATATCATCCAATGGAATAAACCCCATATTCGATCCCCTGCAGTGAATAACATTTATATCTATTTTGATATTTCAGGCCGTTATATCAACCACACTGAAGGGGAGCTACATGGTCATCAGTTAATCAGGATAAGCAGTCGTAATATCTACGCTGGCGGGGATGTCAAAGAAGTTGGGCGAACAAGCATTGACCTGGACTACATGGACAGTGAGTGGAATATTCAAAACATACCTTGAAATTTCTATATTTTTGTGAACTTGATATTTAATATCAAAATGTACATATTAGGAATATTTACTTTTAAAAATATATTTTATTTTAAAACACATTTTCAAATACATTTACAAATGCTGAATAATTCATCTATGCATCTAAACAAGTTAAGAGTAGAAATTACCCCAGAATCCATTGATGAACCTTTGTCTATGTAAAGACGAAGCTATGAATTTTTGGTTCAACTATGAATTCTGGGATAGTCCCCCCTTTAAAAATGTTCACATATCCTAACATATCCTAATTTGCTTGTAGGTTGTTTGAACGACATAAGATACGATGAGGAGTGGTTCCCTATGACAAACAACGAAACACCCCAGAGTGTAAGCGCAGAGTGGATGGACGAGCAGGCCATATCTGAAGGGTGTCCCACAGCTGCTTGCGTCAACTTCCCATGCTCCCCCTCACCTCCTCTCACATGTATCGACTTCTGGAGGAAACCTGTGTGCATGTAAGTACAGTGTAGTGTATTGTGTTGTTCTTAGTGCTATGTGTACAGTGCCATGTGTATAATGCTTTTGTGTGTAGTGCCATGTTTATAGTGCTGTGTCTTTAATCCAATGAGCTCGAGGTATTTATATTTATTTCCTTTAAACAAAGTTAGAAAAGTATAAAATCAGAAATAATGTAATACAAAGTTTATATAAGCAACAGTAGTAACCTTGTTTTGTCTTAAAATATGCAATGCTACAGGATTAATAATACCTAAAATGTTTTTGTTCCAGGTGCCCGCCAGGTCAGATGATGTCTTCAGGTCCAGATTTGTGTGTCAACATAAATGAGTGTCTCTCAGATCCATGTCTTAACGGAGGCACATGTTATGACGGAGATAATCGATTCACATGTGAATGTTACCCAGAATACAGCGGTGAATACTGCGAGTTGCAGACGGCAGCCGTTGTTGCGATTGTTAGTCCAGGCGCCATTGTTGCAATCATTGTGTGTCTCATTGTACTTTTACGTAAGTTCAGTCAAACTATTTGTCTTTATTGATTAAAAGCATGATTTGCCACCTATATGGCATCTTACATCAAATAAAGGGGGATTCGCATGGTGCTACATTTCAGCAACACTTGGATTGAAGCATGCATTCCCTATACATGTACTTCCATTTTAGTGTTTACCGAGAAGCAGGGTAGTATGAAATCCAAAATTTAGGATTTAGCAAGGAATAAAAGATCGGCTAAAATTAAGATTTGCTTAGGAATTAAAGACTAGATAGGGAATAAAGGACTAGCTTAAGAATAAAAGACTAGCTAAGGAATACAAGACTAGCTAAGGAATAAAAGACAAGTGAAGGAATAAAAAACTAGGGAAGGAATAAAAAACTAGTTTTAGAATAAAAGACCAGTTAATTGATTAAAATACCATCTGAAACACTTGTTAAAATATTTCCTAAATGAATATTTTTTTTTTTTCTTTTCCAGTGATCATCTTGCTATTTATCATCTACAACAGACGTCGTAAACCTCATTATGTCGTTGAGCTTGAACCCGAAGATGACATCAGGGAGAATATCATAAACTATGACGAAGAAGGAGCAGGTAGGAGACTTAACTTATCTGAGGGGAGGTGTTATTGTAAGGTCATGGGTTCAAATCCTGTATTGGGATTCAAATTTTCACACTTGTCTTTATGATTTGTTCTCGATTTTCAAATTATATTTTCTGTAGGCTTATTTTTGAAGAATTCGATCAATGTTAATTTTTAAGATCATAAGCTTTAGCTTTAGCTTAAGATCATAAGCTTTAGCTCAGCACTATTTTTGGTTTTGATCGGAATCAGTGTTTAAAATGTTAGGGAATTATGGGTTGAAAATTACAGTTTTTGCAATCCTGGTGGGGTTAAGGAGAAGTACAGGGTGGTCCAAAAAAAATGGGACACTCATATTTCAAAAATAAATATTGATTTTTTTGATAAAAACATGTCATATTATATACCAATGGATAGGGTTACTCATCTTTAATTTTGTATATCATAAGTTCAAATCTATTATAATGTCTGTCAACCAGCGTCCATAATATAAATGACGTCATTTTCGTTTCAAAACGGGTTTTCCGAAACTTGCGAAAACAAAATTTTATTGTCAACTTTATTTACATAAACAGACGTTCAATATGTCCACCATTTTGATCAATTGTAGCCCTCAATTTTGGCCTAAACTGGTCAATAGCATCATTGATATGCTGTTGAGACAATGAATTTCACTTCTCAATAATTCTGTCCTTCAGGAACTGAATAGATGTGAAGACTTTATGGTACACTAATTCTGTTAGTTCTCCCCATATGTGGTTGTCGCACCGCAGATGTTAGGTAATCGGGTGATCTGGGGAGGCAGTGATTAAGGGGGGATGAATCTAGGCACATTTTCTTTTAACCATTTGACACTCTTGTGAGATCTATTGATTGGAGCCCCATCTTGTTGTAAAATGTAATGATTCGAAAATGAGCTCATATCAGGATGGTCCAAAAACAGCATAATTGGGTCATCCGATATCAACGTCTGGGACCACATATTGGGAGAACTAACAGAATTGGTTTATCATGAACCCCTTGCATCTACTCAGTCCCTTATTAAGGATAGAATTTTTGAGAAGTGAAATGCATTGTCTCAACAGCATATCAATGATGCCATTGACCAGTTTAGGGCAAAATTGAGGGCTACATTTGATTAAAATGGTGGGCATATTGAATATCTGTTTATGTAAATAAAGTTGACAAAAAAATTGTTTTTTTCAAGTTTTGGAGAACCCGTTTTGAAATGAAAATGACATCATTTATATTATGGACGCTGGTTGACAGACATTATAATTAATTTGAACTTATGATATACCAAATGAAAGATAAGTAAATTCCCTATCCACTGGTATATAATATGACATGTTTTCATCAAGAAAATCAATATTTATTTTTGAAATACGAGTGTCCCATTTTTTGGACCACCCTGTATTAAACATTTATACAAGTTTCTTGTTTCAAAATGAATGGTCTAATGTGATTTGTTTTTATTTTTATTAATAAAATGTCATTCATTCTTCCCAATCAGGTGAAGAGGACCAAGACGCATATGACATCAGCCGGATGCAGAAACCTGTTGATCCAGATATGCCATCTAAGAAAGTCAAACCTCTGAAATGTGAGTTTTAATATGTATTTATTTGTTTTTTTATGTCACCTCCAGAACTGGTGACATATTGTTATTGTCTCCAACTTTTTTGTGGATGGTGTTCGGTGGTTAGTGTTTGACATCTGTAACAGACCTGACATCTGGCAGGTAGTGACATTGCGCATCTTAATGCCTTGTTTTTTAGTACAGGATATTAGTATATGATATGATATGATATTTTTATACATGATTTATTTCCATAGTAAAATATGATTATTACATACACACGTTGCGGCTTTGCAATAGAGCATTATCAGCCACAATTGAATAAAGAGCAGTATATGATGCAAAGTACATCATATAATTTCACAGATATTGTATTGCATACAATTTTCAAAAGGTCCATTGATTCCTTGAAAGCTTTAGCTTGCTTTCTTTAGTTGAGATGAAATTAAATAGTGATTCATATGTTGCTAAAGATGTATAGTTATATTGGAATCTGTAGAGATTCAAATTCAAAGCAAATATACCCCTGTCATATGAAATACACCCCCATCATATGAAAATATAGGCTACCCCTGTCATAAAAATATTCCCATTATATGAAATATGCAAAAATACTTACATTATGTGTTTGTCATTCCAGCTGCACCTCCAGGGGACTCTCCAGATGTTGGTGACTTTATAAACAATCGTCTTGGTGATGCTGATGATGATCCGGCAAACCCTCCACACGACAGTGTGCGGGAATACGCCTACGAAGGTGGCGGTAGCGAGGCCGGGTCTCTCAGTTCTTTGAACTCTAGTGAATCATCAGACAATGATAATTTTGACTATTTAGATGACTGGGGTCCGAGATTTTCAAAATTAGCTGATATGTATGGTGCTGATAAGTAGTCATGGATTTGTGTAGTCATGGCTGAATTAGTCATGGCTGAATTGAGTCATGGATGGATTTGTATTTAGATAGCTTTATACCAAATATACAGTACTGCACACAGCACTGGAGCGACACTCTTAGACTACTGTTGGTTAGCATTGGAAGACAGTGTGTTCTAATTGCAGTTTGCAGTGAAATTTCGGAAGGTACTAACAGTAGGAAGACAGTATTTAACCACAGCAAATAGGACACAATAACACATTCACTGCGATACTACAATATGGTGGCACAATGCATGAATATTCACTGTCCATAGTAAATCTCATTTGCGAAATTGACAACAAACAAATTGGTTTTGTTTCCAAGAAAGATCAGATCCAACATCCTATTGTAAGGACTTATCGTACAGATTGACTCGCCAGTAGAGGCTAAAATATACAGCTGGTCCAGATTTAACTGGTCCAGACCTAGAGCTAGTACTTATCATGCATTCTGTCCAAATGAAATTTACCAGGGATCGTATGTATATTCCTTGTGGATTCTGTGTCGACCATTTGTAGTTTTGCTATGTTGTAACTACATATCAAACACATGCATGATGTATTATATAATATTATTGCTCAGACAGGGATGATAAAAACTTAAAAAGCTGTGGATTTCAAGTTGATGCTTTTTAAGAATGTGTTTGTCTCATGTTATAAAATGTTCCTTACAAGTCTATTGAGGTTTGTGACAGTTCAACAGCCCTCTGAAATACCACATAAAAAGCAGTGATCTCCCTAGCATTTAATCAGCTGGGTGAAAAATAATGGCACCTTATTGAAAATCTACTGCACCCTGTTAAAATTTGAAAATAACATGCCACCCCGTTAAAAGTCTGTTTGCACCTTGTCAAGAGGATGAAATATACATGTACATCTATAGGTGTATATATATTTTGAAATATACATGTACATCTATAGGTATATATGTATTTTGAAATATACATGTACATCTATAGGTATATATGTATTTTGAAATATACATGTACATCTATAGGTATATATGTATTTCGACTAAAAGAGTTGAAATTAAGTACCCTTTTGAGATAAATCTCATGGTGATCACTGAAAGGTATTTAAATTTGTATCAAACATTTTATACACATTTCCTGTTTAAAAATGAATAATTATTGTATGTATTGCATGGTCAGTCATTAATAATTAGTGATTTTTGAATCAAATCAGCATTATCACCATTCAAGTATATTTACTTGAATCATGAAATTTTTGTTGCAACTACGCCATTAGTTTTAACTACGCAATTTATGTGTAGCCTTGCATTAGTTTGAATGCTGCTAAGGATATTTAGAATATTTGCTTCATTGGGGTTAGGGGGTGGGGGGCAGTGAGGGGGTCTATCAAAGATTCTAGGAAGTTGGATCTATAAATTCATAAAAATTGTAATTGACCCCCTACCCCACCCCCTCCCCAGCCACCCCTTTCCTCTGAATATACACATCTGATATACTTATTGGAAGTGAAATGCCAAAGCAACTGTTCATTAATAACCCTAGAGCATTCATCAAAGCGGCCAATTCTTGAAAATATTGTTAATTATGATTTGAAAAATTCAATTGCTCTCAATATTATTATAGCGAAAGGCTGTTGAAATACTTATGTCATAATCTACAGTGTTTTCTAGAAAAGGTCCACACGAAGTCAAGTTATGTATTTATTTTGACCATATATGGAAGGAGAGATCTCAACTTGAGGTATTAATACTCAGAAAACTACACTTAGTGTCAAAAGCACAGCACATGCACCACCGTACTAATATTATACATGTGCCAAAAAGTTGAATAAGAGTGTATTTTCAAAAAATCATTAAAATATTTCACAAATTTTGAGTTGAACCTTTTCAACAAGAGTGTATGTTGTATTGTCACTGTACTGCTTAAGATGAAAGTGTATTATTAGTTTTTTGACAATCACAGTTTCCCTTTGTTATATGTCTTGATTCAGAAATCATAGAATTTCAGGATAGAAACCTTTGATTGGTTGAACATAAAATGGGTTCTTGTATGGGGGGAGGGGGGTCCATTAGAGCTCCATGTTTCCTACCTTATATCTATTGACCCCCCCCCTCCTGTTTTTGATATTGATGATTTTTGAACCAAAGCTTGTCTGTATTAGCATGCAGTTTAAGTTTTATTTGTGTTAATCAAACAACAATTTGTGTTAATCAAACAACAATTTGTGTTAATCAAACAATTTGTGTTAATCAAACAACACTTTTATAACGTATATTCAGTAATTAGCACCAAATTTATTATTAAAAGTTAATCGACACATTATAAATGTTCCAAAAAGCCTGTGCCAATGCTGCTATATCATAGCTATTTATGTAGAATAGATAGTATTTTATGCTAGAAATATCCATATAGTTTGAGGTATTTAATAAGAATCTTGTGCTATTTCAATTTCATTTCATGATTATTTCACCTAATGTTTTGCAAGGAACAAATTAAATGAAGAATGTTCCCTTTTTTCGTCAAAATTGAATATTTTTCTGCAATTACGGCTTTGTTTAAATGTTTGCTGTATTTGCCAGAATTTGGTTGTCATAGAAACACGCCAAAATTGTTGGATATATAATCTGTAAGAAATTCCTGTACAGTTTTTTACAATGTACATTGTAGATTTAGAATATCTATGTAAATATGACTTTATGTATAATAATATACAACGATGTGAGATTGAGTGGAACATCTAATATAGTATGTAACCATGGTAACGTACCATCACAATTGTAGAAATTGTAGATATTTTATACAGTAACCAAAATCCATGTGAGCACACAGTTACTATTAGGGAATAGGGATTATGAGAATTTTGGACATCTAGCATACACAGGGTCGAATCGAACAATTTAGGAATACTGATGACCAAGAAAATGTGTATGCAAGGTACTATGATGAATCGAAATTTCGTGTATGCAAGTTACTATGATGAATCGAAATCACGAAATGTTCTTAGTTTACAGATGGTTGATTTTGGATGATGGTTGATTTTTTAAAAAAACAGCCAGGGGATATCACCAATTGTGTTCAATTAGTGTAAATTTTCTTTTTTCGATATATTGCGTAAATAACACATATGTATTGTATAATTATAACAATTGTGTAATTATAAAAATATTATTGTGTATCATACAGATCACAAAGCAAATCTATTAAGCCAGAAAATGTCAGGGAATTTGTTTGAAACGGATGAAAAGTTATCTCTATTTGAATTAAATTCATTTTAGTTGTGTGTTGCTATGGAAACTAGTCTCATCATGAATGTAAAACATTTATTTGTATAGAATTTTTGCAATTAAAATAAAACAAATAATACAATAATATGTATATATATTCAGTTTGTTTATTTTTTAATCATGCAATCCATGATCCCTTACAAAGGCGTTACTAGGTTGTTTTGCCATTGTACACAGGGGATATCCCAGATTAAAAATTTGGAGGGCACCTTGATTGAAAAATGGGAGACCAAAGGTGAATATTAACTAGACTAAACAGTTGTCATGTCAACTGAATCTTGAAACAATGATGTTTGTTCTTATCTGAGAAATATGTGATTTGATTCAACACGAGGTTAAGCTGCATGTTTTAAGAGAACGTGAACGTATTGTTACCCCAGAGAATTACTGTCCCCCTCAAATTGTTTTCCCAGGGACCTTATTACAACTTTTTTCCTTATAGTGGAATCAATTGGTGCAAGGCCCCCATAGGGACCTTGCGTTTTCATACTAAAGTTCGTTTTGGAATTTTTTCTTATTCTATGTATTTCAAGACATTTTAGAGACAGGGCCCTTTTTTGAAAGCCCTTTTTAGAAAAATAATTGAGATTACAGAGGATACCCATTATTACTGCTTTTTAACACAATGTGAACAGAAAATTCAAATTTCAAACTCCTTATCTTACTATAATTCACCAATGGAGAATGGACGTTGAGCAACCAAACTTGGCACAAAGTTGGACCCTAAGATGGGGTTTGATCTTTTGTGAAACCATACATTTGCCTAGCAACCACATAGCAACCATCTAAAATAACACATTTTACAATATAAATCCACTTAAATATATGCTAGGATGCTATAAGACCATTACAAAAAGTCTGCTTATCCTAAAATACAACAATTCAAACATATTTACAGAAGTGACATCACCATGTTGCATAGCAACAACATGGCAATAGGTTACAATGCCCATTTTGACATTTGCACACCATATTCCTATTAAATGCTCACTTGTATGGTTTTGGATCCCTTCCACATTATTTCTTAACATACAGAAATTGTAAGCATAAATGATGCAGTTATGCCTGACCATTTTCCCTAGCAACAGCTTAAAATATTTGCCTAGCAATGACCTAGCAACAGCTTAAAATAGCAATGTTTCTCATAAAAATCTCACTATATGTCCACTATTATGTAATATGTATGTCTTTTAATTTATAAAGCTTTATAGCTGCACACTCAAAAATCTGTAGTCTCTTGTGTAAGGCATGATGGGACATTTCTTGTCTTATGTTTATCAAACTGCAAAAGTCCTGCAATTCATCTTTCAGTTATGAGATAAAGTAAGCACAAACTATTCATTGTATTTATCCTTGTTACATTTTCAGCATTAATACCCCTAAGATAATACTCTATTTGGGTTAATTGCTACAATTTCCTTTGCAATTGCATAGCTTTGGTGCAGTAGAATGCACCATGGCATTTTCATTTCCCTTTGCAGTCGCATTTGGTGCATCCACATTTAATTATGACTTTACATGCCTCGGATGCTTGCGACAGTATTGTCCATCTGGGTACGCACAATACTGATGCACTCCTAAACCATCCCCATAGGCATAGGTTCGTTGAAGGAAGAACTGGATCCACTATAAGCCATTGCCCCCATACATGTGCTCCTTGGATCATGACATTATAGAGTGCTGCATCGCATGTTGGGGGTAATCTATTGGGATCCATCTGTCATGAGTGAACATGTGCCTGCGCATGGTATTGAGATTTGTCTGGTTGTTTGTAGGCTGGTAAACCAGGATAATGAACCTCTCAATTGTACCCATAAATTCCACGTTGTTGTTACGGTTGATGGGCGATCTACCAGAGTCAAAAGGACACCTGTTAGATCATAACATAAGTTCCATTGCTTGAAAACTGTCACCTTGCTCTGATGGTAAAATCCAGACATTGGTATCAGTTCCAGTATGGGCGTGGAACATTGGCAACGCACATGATCTTTGTGGTCCAAGTGCTCTAGCATTCTCATGAACTGGAATGTAGCGATACATTTTGCACTTTGAAAATGCTACATAGACCTCAATCTATAGCTCAGAGGCACAGGCTAAGGCTATCACAATAACATTACTGTCCACTGATCTTATCATAAATGTCGTGCAACCTTTTCTGCCTCATGATATTGTTAATTTTTCACATTTGGATAGTAATATTCCACTGAACCCAGCATATGGGGTTTATGTATCCCACCAGGGTGTGTTCAAAATACTAGTATATATATTTTAAATCAAGACACCATATTTTACTGATTACATCGTTAGGTCAAGGTTATACTTGTAAAAGCTTAAAATCCTATCTGGGATTTGCTGAAACATACAAGTCATTAATTTGAAAGTTTCAAGTTTTACCACTTGAGATGCTGAAGGATGTAGGAATTGTGCAAAGAGCTCTATCTTTCAAGAAAGTCTTGCCAATTGCTTGGTAGTTTGGTGTTAAGATAGGATTTCTCAGAAACAATGACAACAAGATAGAGTTCTTTGCACTACTAGCAACTGTTACAAGACATATTATGGCAGGAAAAGGTTGCAGGACATTTATGATAAGATCGGTGGACAGTAATGTTGTGATAGCCTAATAG